CCTCTTAATGTTGGATACAGTCAACTTTATTTACTTTTGGAAAGTATTGCCTTGTAATGTGGTCCATAATAGGGTGTGATACCCTTTCCCGTTCATTTATCCAGATACTGTACAGAGAGAACAACTTGGCTGCAGATGAAACTGACAGTGTTTGCTGCTGCATAATAGCAGTTACAGCCACTTAAAGGTAGTTCCTTTTAGTGGTTAGTTCAAGGTAACTGACCCCTTGGGGGTTCCTGGGTACTGTGTCCAGTTCCCTATTAGCTCTGCATGTAGCCATGTTTAATTAAGCCAGCCAGCACCCGCAGTTGAATTTACCCAATTGTAAAATGAAGCTTCTTATGATTATGAAACAGAAAAAAAGACTGAGGATTAGGAAGTTAGAGAGGGAGCAGGAGTCTCACTTGAGAACAGCCATTCATGGTGGTGGCCGCGTTGCTTTTGTTTCTCAGCATTATCCATAGAGAAAAATAGAGAAGGTTTTCTTTTCCCCTGTCTGCTTGCAGGAGATGTCAAGATATATAGCAATAAAGCTCTAAGAATTTTAGTTACTTTGAGCTTATGAATTGAAAGTGATTCAGAGAGTACTAGAAAAACTTGTTTGTTTACAGTGGGATTCTTATATTTCCTGGTAAATCAATATGGACTGTGAAAGTTGAATCTTGATATCTGGTTATTTTTTTCTCTCTTTGTATCTAGTGATAATGTACCGGGGTGAGGCTCTAGAAGATTTCACAGGCCCGGATTGTCGTTTTGTGAATTTTAAGAAAGGTGACCCTGTATATGTCTACTATAAACTGGCGGGGAGAACACCTGAAGTTTGGGCTGGAAGTGTAAGTAAAAATTGACATACTTTATCTGCTTACTTTTTACTGGCTCATTTAGTACTCTAGATTTAAATGACTGTGTTTTCTTGGGGTTTTTGATGGAGTTAACCTGCCCTAGACTGTGAAAAAAATGGCCCTATTTCCCTAGCAGGCCTCAGGCCTGCCACAGTTAGGA